CGCGCCTCAGACCGAACGCCGAGAGGGGAAGAGAGGAATTGCATGAGGCAACGCGAATCGTGTCGCGCTCAGCGCGTCGTGTTCGCTTCTGTGCGCTCTGCGCTCTGCACCCACCTGACAGTAGCCTCTCCCGCCTGCGAATGCTTCTTTCGTCGGGCCCACGTGCCTCCCGCCTGGGGTCTAGCCGCCAGCCTGAAGAGAAAAGGCACTCGGTCCCGTCAGGTGGACACTACTTTCTTGGCGACCTGTTCTATGTCGGCCAGTGCCTCAACCCTTCGGCGTGCCAACGTACTCCGATGGTCCTCTCTCGCGCTCACGAGCGCTACGACCTACAACACCGGTACACATGTGTGCTCCTGTGATGTCTAGAAACTTTTCGTGGGGGGCACACGAAATCTTTTCCACGTATACCAGTTTCCGGTTTTCCAACAATGATCCTTTTCAACTCTTCTTGCGGTTTCAACAAACTGCAGTTTATTCCGTTTTCGACAACAACTTGGCTTTTGTTTGTCTACGCCTGTGTCTACGCCTAGAACAAACCTGCCCACTTTTTCTTTGGGCACAGCCGTATGGACAAGACATCGGCCGAGAACGTTGGCCTACCGCGACGATCATGACTGGAAGGGTTGCCCTCTGCGACGACGAAGCATACTTCAACGCGATGTGAACAACGGTGCGCGTGTCGTGCACCTGTCACAAGATTTTGCCGATCAAGAGATGCACGTATAGGTGTCGCCATATTGCGGTCGCCTCGCAATGGGACTAGATGGGAATATGTTCTACCGGCACAAGTGAACCTAAACTTGACGATTGACACAGCAATACGCACTACGCTGCCGTGACATGTTTGTTTTTATGCTTGAGTCGGAGCGGAGCACCTCCTGCCGACGAACGTTGCTGCACGCTGCGGCAGTGTTCAAAAGTATTTGGGCTATGTCTTACTCCTTTGTCGGGTGCCCCTTTGGATCGTGCAGAACGTCGCGATATCTATTTTCGTGTACACTACTGCACCAGGGTTATGCAAGCTCGTGAGTGTCCATGAGTAGGTTCGCATATATATGTGCTTCCTCTCCTTTCCATGCATATTTCTGGATGTGAACGCGCCTTGGCGTTGCCCAGTACCGACTGTGAGTTTAGGTTATGTCGTACGTCTTTGTCTTGTGTCGTTTTGGATCTTCCAGACCGCAGCGCCATCTGTTTGTGCGTACGTATCTAGATCTACATACACGTAGTACGTATGATTGTCCATCAGTAGTCTCATGCGATGAAAATGGAACATGGAAGAGAATATGATATTTTGTCAGCATACCTCACAAAATTCGGAGAGGAAAAGTCTGAGGTGTACCCTGCTGAGTCATTGTTGTTTCGTTTGCCCTGGATATCCATTTTCCTTTTACTCGGGGGATGACACAATCTCTAAATTGTTGTTTTTTAATAAAACCCCGCGCCTGTCGCGAATCCTGAGAGCCCAGCATATCTTTCCTATCCGTTCGTCTTGGAATTTCAGTTTCCCTCGAAACGTCATCGCGTTGATCTACTCTCTGTCTGTCGACCTCGCATTTTCATTCGACGATGTCGTCCCTCTTTTTCCGTCCACTCATTCCCCCGGCCCCGCCGTCCGTGCTCTCGCTGCATTTCATCAGTCTTCCACAACGTTCACTACAGTCTGTGTAGACACTCTGTCCTTTCAATAGACCGTGGAAGCATTCCTCGATAACGTCACCACGTGCGTTTTTTCTCGCTTTTTCTCTCTATGTGTCTCTGTCGCTCTCTTTCGCTTTTCCTGTCTCGCGCACGTCGTCCCACGATCCATCAACCACGCCCTCTACTTTCGCCCTTGACGGCAGTGCTGGCTACTTACAAGAGCAATGGACATATATATGTTGATGTTGGTTTGCCGAATATTGGAACTTTATCACGCTTTTGTGAGGTTTGCTCCGACACTCGGTAGCTCAACTATCGTCGATAATGGAGTTGTCGGTTGCTGCCGGTTGTGACTCCAAGACCAGAGAGTTCGATGACAGGTTACGCCGGGTATTCCAAGTATCGCCGAAGGCCTAGTTTGGAAGGCAGGCCCCAGATGAAGTGGCGGTCACGCGCTAACCGCAGTTGGGTAGACATTGGGGCCAGCGTAATCGCTAATCATTTGGGCTGGCTCTTGAATCTTCGACGCGGTTAGTCGACCAATCGCTTGCACCCGAAACAGGCGTACTGTGTGGAATCATATTGTAGGAATACTGATTGTTTCAGGGAGCTCGGCCGTGATTGTACTATTCGTATACAGCAGACATACTTACATAGCGCGCGTACATGTGTCTTTGGGTTTGCCCACAAACTTGACTTTTGATCGTGTACGTTCGCCTTAAATAATCCAATGCGGCTTTTTGAATAATGAAAATACACACATGCTGGCACCACTGCCCGTGTAGCATAAAGCTCGTGCTTCCGTCGCGCGTATTGACCATACGGCAGTGGGGCACGTCCAAAAAGACACAAGTTTTCTAATTTAGGGTTAGGTTATCATCTCCGTTTGACGTAATACTGCAGACGTACGATCTCCCACACGACCCACACACTCTACCAGCACATGTCGCTACAAGTTGGGCTTAGGATCGGATGCCACCTCCTGGTGCAAGTTGAATAACCACTTCAACTGTTGCGCCGCATCATTTCCTGTCGCGAAACGATCGTAGTTCCACCGCCAACCGTCCGTTCCACGTCGATTGTCTAACGACAGCAGTTGCACCGCGACACACGTTTGCTGTCACTTTTCCTCTTTTTACGTTGGTGGTGTAGCTTTTGTTGGTGATAAGCTTGCACCAGTAGCGCGTACTGCTGGGCCGTTTTGGAAGGGTTACCGCAGGTGCTCACTCAGAGGCAATACAACCCGGTGTGCGCGAGGTGCAACACTGCTGAGTGCTGTTACCCAACTTGGTGACCTCCGGCACGATGAGATGCAATATGTCATTGATGTTGTTACGGACGGCTGGTGTGGTGCACGAGCCAGCTCTCCATCACTAGAAGCAATAAAAGGAAAAATATATTCCTCGAATAGACAGAACAAAATGGTGCTTATTGGGGGAACAGTTTCGGATTGTGACTTCGTTAGGGTAGGTCTTAAGGAAGAAATCCGGTCTAAGAATGAAGGAGTCGGATCTACCCAAATCCGGACAGAAATGGCCTGTGTGTTTTAACGGGAGATCTGCCACATGAAAACGAATCTCTGCAGTCCACCGCGAATAACCCGAGAGGTCCGCCGCTTGCCAACTGCCAGATTACTGTTGTGACGTACTGTTATGACGTGGCCACACCACATGGGCAGCTATCGCTCCCGACAAGCACACACCAAACGCGTACATGGCCTCTGTGCGGTACTGACACGATGTCCATATGCATGTGAGAGTTTGAATCGAGCCTCGTCCGACGGAAAGCCGTCAATTCGTCTGTGGATTTGAAGGTCGACAACCCACGGAAGATTGCCCCACAGACCAACACATCCACAACACGTTTTTTTTCGGCACCAGTCACGTGTCACCCCACCTTTGGGTTGGCTTTTACTGCTCTCTCTTTCCTCTGTGCTCGGCGGTGGATGGAGTTCGTGTGGCTTTGGGTAGGTGGGGGTGGGCACGCGCCGTGCATGGGAGTTGACCGTGGTCCCGCAACTAATGACGCTGTTCACCCAAATCGGGATCCGATTAAATGATATCACCTTTTTTCAAATCCCGATTTGGTTTTGGGTCGTCCTGTTTTAAGTCCTAAAGATTCGACGGGTTCCATAACATTTCAGCCAATCAACAACAGATTTCTTTGGATCTTCCGGTCTTCTAACCAAATCTGAATGTGATTTCAACATCCGATTTCTTCGTCAAGACCAACCCTTAGCTGTTCGGAAAATTTGGGTCACGAGGGGAAGAAATTCAACCCCCTTCCCTGTTTTCCTATGAGAAGAGAGCGCGAAGTGGTGTAGCATGCCGAGTAACGAGCGGAAGCTGCAGAGCGCTCGAAGAGAGGGAAGGAAAGCAGTGGCCGCGCGACGCATTAGGCGGCAGTTCAGCAATAATCCCGCCCTCCCATCCCTTTTCTTTCGAACGTGGGGGGATAAGCTCGGGAGTATTCTATTATGTTTCTCGTTGGGATGTTTTAGAATGGTTTGTATCATTTGGGGCTTGGTCAGCTTCGGGACTTCTATGTTTGCATTCGTAGTCCCCCGGCTGGTATTATTTGCGGGGAGTGACACAGGTTTGAGTCAACGCCGTGCCACGTAGCTTATGTGGCTGGCGAGACGACGGGCGTTCGGTGTGTCTCACTCCCGAACGTGTCTCCTAGACACCGAAGAAATATTCAAGCAATTCGAAAGAAAACAAAAACTGGGGACCCCGAATGGTCAATCGGCTATCTTGGGGTTTACCCGAGAACGTTTCTGATCTTGCTGATACTGCAGACCTACCATGCTCACGCAATATGACTGTCATAGATCGGGTACGGCTGCTGTTGTCTTACGTTGCCAACAGCGAACACATAACTTGGCTACCGTTTTATGTACACGGACACGTAAACACCCCTGACATCGGCATGCCTGCCTGATGAAGACGATTCTCCAAGGGTCAAGATCGACAGACGAAGATTAGTTATGGCGTGGTGACTCTCGTACGGCGATGCCATCCGCTGGCCCACAAATTTACTTTCAAAGCGATATTCCCATACACCAAGGCGGTAGTGTGATCCCAGTGCCCGTACCGCCCGAAGAGCAAGCGGCCGCCATACCGTCGTATCCTATGACGTGGGGCATATGTTCTGAACCGGAGGGGTAGAATCTTATATCGATCTGTCGGCCAGTAGCCGTGTGTCTGACCTAGCTGCAATTCATTGGCTTGACAGGAGTTGCCGAGTACAACGTGAACGGGGTGACGTACCTGACACCAGCCGATCAAGACATTTTGCCCTATCGTATCGGAAAGCAGCTCCCATGGAATCACCTCGGCCGCAAGAACATCGGGTACATGTACGCTATTCATCACGGAGCTGAGGTGGGTGGCAACAGAACAACCTGATCATGACCATGATGGCCAGCTAACCCAAAAATGCCACTCATTGAGAAAATCGCCAAGGTATGTCACATGCCAAGGAGATGGAGGTCCCCGAAGTAAAGACCCGTTCCCCTCTTCCGATGACAATTCATGAGAACGTGATGAGAAGACCATATCAAGGATTTGGAAAGGTTGAAAGATGGTATGAAACGGAGAGTCGGGCCGTTTCTTCTAGCCAGAAACTCGTTAGAGAAACTTTAGCCCTACGATCAAATAGAGACTCTGACAACTTCTTCCCGCGGCACGTCTGTTACTTTCGTTGTGACACCATCTCTACATCAGGTTATTTACGACGTGGATGACAGGAACGCGCTCGTCGACCCGCAGCAAGGTGTACCTCATTCTGACGTGTCCTCATCTGGGAAGCCGGACGTATTTCGCTTTCACAGCGACGAATCCGCCATCGTGCACAACCCGTACCCTTGCTTTGGTGCGCCTGGGGTAGTCTGGCCGAGAGGATTCCCTCTGAACAAGGTTCAACTGGTGGACTCGTCAACCTGTAGCTCGGAGGGTGCAATGGACAGCCAGGTTATCGGAGTGGTCCAAGCGCTAGCCAATCATGACCCGGACGTTGACGCAATATATCGGATGACTTACCCACCCGGCGGACTACCGTTCTCCTTTGTAGCTGAAGATTCTTCGAAGGCAGAGACCAGGAATTTACGAGCCGTTCCGGCCTCGGCGTTTACTCCATACAATGCACAGGTTGGTTTATCGTTTCCCACGGGTGATGTTTATTGTCGTGACAGGCGACAAAAATGTCGTGACGGCACGAACGAACAAATTGGGCCCTACTGTAATGGCGTGTAAACATTTTCGAGCCTCATAGTGACATGGGTCGACCCTGTGATGAGGGATATTTTTGGGGGACATCGCCGGTATCGACTACCTCAGTGCGGTCTGCGAGAGATTCTACCCTATCTGTATATCGAAACCATTGTGCGGGGTTTGTACAACCTCTACGGCAAATGCATATCATTGGATGTCTAGAATTGATACAACACCAGGCTATAAGTACGGATTGGCGTGTACCTTGTACCATGTTGACACTCGACACAGGGCAATCAATTGAATAATACCGACAATGTTATGTACGCCTGTTGCTGGTTCTCAAACAATGGCTGAAGGCAACCCTTCATTTTCAAGTTGCATTTTGGGGTTTGCTGCTGCCAACAACGGTCGACGGAAGGGTAAGCGATACCTGGAGAAGCTATTTCACTCAGGCTCTGCTCCCAGCGGTTGGCGCTGTGGCTGCCTTCTCGCCTGGTTGGGTGGAACAGGTCAGGATCAACGTGAACGACTAGTCGTAAGATGCTTGAGGTGCGTAAATGAAGATCATAGTGGGTGGACATCACCCCCCCCCCCGTTTGTTGCATGTCCCCTTGGGGTATATGCCGTTTCGCTGGCAGTCTCGTGTGTGATTCGCTGTCGTCTACCAGAATTACATGGTGTAGCCGAGCCTGCTGACAAAAGGGCGTCTTGTTTTGCAGACCATCAGAAGTCGTATTAGTATACCACCATGGGACAGAACAACCCGTGAGGTTGTTACTGGTGGCGTCAGGTGTGCCGTTCTTGGACAGGATCGGCGTAGTAACACGATTTTTCATGCGATCTTGGGGTTATCAGCATAGCGGGGGAAGCATACACATCTTAGACTTCAACTCTCTGCCACATGTTTCTGGGTCCTGGTCGTCGTGTCAGGTAGGAAATCCGCGCAACTATCTGGCAGATTTCAAGGCCGAATTTCCTCTCTACCAAAGGAGCGGGGCACTTGTAGAGTTTCTTCTGCAGTACCGGGATCTCGTTTCAAACGCGTCAGCCCTGCCACTGGAGATTGAAGCCCTCGCTGTTGCAATGTACGAGTACGGCATTGTCGAAGACGAGGACGTCGCGCTCATGCAGGTGGGCGTTGGTTGGACTTTCGGCAAGGTCCACGGCGTACTTTGATGTTAGGATGCACGGTTGGCACTTGAATTTCACTGCTAGATCTCCGCACGGTTCACAACGCGTGCGGTACACGTACATTGTTAGCGAGGTCCTTCTTGCCTCCTTGTCATGCAGATTTGCGCTTGTGACGCGATGAAGGTGGCAACTACCGTCTTTTACATGTTGCAAGGAAAGACGTTGAGTAGGTAACAATGTCTCCCAGACCATCAAACATCTCTATGGTTCTGGGCACACCTAATCGTGTTGCTGCAACGACACCTCGACAGGCCTGGCTAGAGGATCTCCGTGATGCTGGCTACGCATTTCCTGAGTACGATATGCAACACCAATCTACTGCAGCTGGCGTTGCAAGGCAACAGCACACCAGTGTTGACGAAAAGTTGCCGGCGTTGCAGATTGGAAGGGGACAACCTTCACCAGGTGAACTACCTCGCGTTCTGCTGGTGGTGGCGATACTGTCTGCCAGGCCCGAACGGAGAAACGCCATCAGATCGACCTGGTCAGCGTGGGGAGATGAGCGTGTGGAGCTCCGCTTTTTCACGGAGGCCCCTGCCGAGAATAACCCTGACGCCGAATCTATTACAGCCGCCCTAGAAGAGGAGATGGCACTTCACCAAGATGTTGTACTAATGGATATCGACTCGGGTATGAATTTCGCGCTCAAGCTTGTGTGGGCCATGCAGTGGATGTCTCATCGGTGGATGTTCAATTTCTTCCTTCGTCTGGACGACGACTACTTCCTTTGTCTCGGGCGCCTCCTACACGAGCTAGAAACAACCTTCAAGACTACACAAGAGCCCCCCAAGATTTACGCCGGCCACATCACTTGCGGTCGGAGCGGCAACACAAGGATAGACGAGGCGTACATGCTTCTATCCACCAGCCTTGTTACCAGAGTGCTGTCGACCACTGACCTTATGTGTGGTGGTCATGGCGGGGTCACTGCCGGGTGGTGGTTCACACCGGGCAACCCGCTCAACGAGGCCGGCGATGTTACATGGGTTCACGATCCTCGACTGGATCACTCCGGGAGAGCTCTCAAACAAGAAAGTGCCGATAACGTGTGCAAAACGCACATGGGGCTGCACAAGATATACCCGGACACGATGACGGAGGTTTGGAACAAGAGCCAAGCTTACGACGACAACGACCATGGTGTTTCGCTCTTGCACTACATTACCGATCAGTCCTGTAAACATGTGCCTGCTGGCGTCAGTCAATCGACTTTTAACCGTGATCATGCTCAACCCTGCGAAACGTTCACGGGAAATACCAAGATCCACTGTGGTGCGGGTGGTTGTTGATGATCCTGCTTCGACAAGTGGATATCCGCTTGGGTTGCAACCAATGGATAGAAGGTGCCAACTTGGGGGTCAATTTGTTCGTGTCTGAACGATGAGTACACAAAGCTATGACGTTCATGAGGACGAATGTGTTGGACGTTGTAGTCTACATGGAGTCGCCATCCTCTGATTTCCGTGCATGGTTTCAAGCCTGTTTCTTTCCCCTCATCGGGCTAGCGTTATGACGTACCGCAAGAATGTGCGAGAACGCACGGGGGTGCGATGGGTGCGATGATTTGGGTTAGGGTTTCCCGTGCGACAATCGCATTGTGGTACTTGGTTCTTGGGTTTTCATCGCACGGGGGGTGCGATATCACTGGGACGTGGGATACTGAGGAAACAATAATCGTGGAGTTCTTTGTCACATACTCTCCATAAGTACAGTACAACATCGTTGACGACCGCGAAGTAACTCCTGCGCAGCGAGTGCCCCCGAGCAACTCGGGGCTTGGTGTCGGTGACACCGCACCCCCGTGCGATATCACGGAACTCCGTGCGATATTCGAATTTTATCACTTAGTTCTTGGGTTTTTATCATGCCGGGGTGCGCTAACACCGGTACGTGCGATATCACCGAACCTTGTGTTCTCTCGTATGCTTACGGTTCTTGTGCGTGCGCTGCCTTGTAGGTGTCGTTGTTGGTCATGTGTGTTGGTGGTACGCTGGCAGCGTGGCAGCGTGTCGTCCTAAATCCACTTGGAGAACATACCGCAGGTACTCGCTGATAAGCAAAACAGCCTACCAGTCAATGCGACAGGAGGGGCATTGCGTAGTGTTGTGTTGCGTAACTCGGTGGCCCTCAAAACGATGGCAAATGAGGTGTCGTGTTTTCAGGCTGACTCTTGGGCGAAGTCTTGGATATTAAAGTCAAGGGCGCACTTCCAAACTCTCGAGCTTTACGTAGCGGACACGATTCCACACTGCCTCGGTTTTACAAGTATCATTTGGTGATGATATGATGTGTTGCGATGTCATTCCACAACTACGAATTAAGGGCGAGTTTTTACCGGTAGCACGAAGGGAACACGAGAGACAATTTACTGGCCTCACACTCCGCTTCTTTCGTTTTGGGCGCGTCGAAGGGGCGGGGGGGGGGAGTCTGATATACATGACTTAGAGTGAAAATATGACCATGTTAGTTATTCCCAAACTGCAAATTGGAGTTTCAACCAGCACAATCACGAAAAAAGTCAATGAAGAAATCTTGTCCGAAATTTCGATACAATAACCAAGTCTGCGCCAATCGATCAAATCTGGCGTTTTCGAGGAAGGTTTTCGGGGAAAACGGCAATTTAACACCGCACACAGCTTCCCAGTGCTGTCTCGAAACATTCATACAATTGCAATCTGAGTTTCCTCCAGCTCATCAGCTACCCGAAACGTTTGTCATTTCTTTTAAACCCGACACTGGCACAAACTCATGAGTTTTCAAAAATGAAAGTTTGTTGTCGAAGAACGAATAATATACAGTCATGGCTCAGTTATAAGAGGGTACTTTACAAAAGGGGGCTCCGATATAAGAGGGTCGAAATTGGTCGTCACGGACTCGACTCGCAATACTAGGGGTACCCTCTTACAGGGACCGGGGGGCTTGTAAGTCGGGGACTGTCGTCGGTGTGGCTCCCCCGGCCTTGAACTCACACACAAACGCACCTTCCTCAAAACAAAGCCGCAGGAAGAATAGACATGAGAGGAGCTGTCAAAGAATAGTGGTATTTCGGTGAAACTGGTGGCCAATACAAGGGGGATGGTGCAGAGATGATGAAAGCACTCTGAAACGAACACATGTGCAAAGTAGCAGCCCTGGGTAAACACGTGCAGTTTTCTTCTACTGATACCGTCTCTATCTTCAATCTGGAGAGAGAGTAGCTTAGCCTACCCCATGGCGCCCCCTCATGGGGTCCCAGACCATGGCCGCACTGAGACTAACGTGTTATCATTGGCTAGCTGGTTAGATCGGTGGATGCTAGTAATAAAGGTATACTACAACACACACACCTCGCGGCGCCAAGTAGAAGCAGGGGGCTGTTTGTGCTAGCCTAGAATCTCGTTCCATTCAGCATACGGTTCAAAAATTGCACACCCTGTACAACTACTTTAGGTGGTAGTTGTTTGCCAGACAACTACTCTTCCAGGAGGGTGCGCACCTAGTTGGCTGCAGACACCTACTAGTTCAGATTTGTGCGCACCTAGTTGCCTGTAGACACATACTCTTCCAGGAGTGTGCGCACCTAGTTGGCTGCAGACACCTACTCTTCCAGGAGGGTGCGCACCTAGTTGGCTGCAGACACCTACTCTTTCAGGAGTGTGCGCACCTAGTTGGCTGTAGATGACTACTCTTTCAGGAGCGTGCGCACCTAGTTGGCTGCAGACACCTACTCTTTCAGGAGAGTGCGCACCTAGTTGGCTGTAGATGACTACTCTTTCAGGGGCGTGCGCACCTAGTTGGCTGCAGACACCTACTGGGTCAGATTTGTGCGCGCCTAGTTGGCTGTAGATTACTAGTATTCCAGAATCGTGCGCACCTAGGTGTTCACGAACAACTAGCCGGTGGTTGTCTGTCTAACAACTAATTTAGCTGGCTTATTATTGTAGTTAGAGCTGATAGTCTGTCCTGGAGTTACACGGAGAACGCATTAACAGTGGTAGTAGCAGTGAGAGGTCGTTTCTGCGCAGAAAGGGGTGCAGACGAGGAAGATCAGCCAAACCTTACACCTTGTGAACCTTTATCGATCTATTCCTGGTGAAACGAACCACAATACACGCAAGCATGCTGTGTGATGATCCGCGAGCATGACACGCCAACCTAGCCAGATGACCAGGAGCTCTCTCCTATGCGAGGGAGACCTGCCAAACAACATCCGCTTATTATACTGGGTCGTGAAAAAAACTAATGGAACATGCATCATCGACCGTCACTGCCTCTTCTTCCGACGAACCAATCCCTCCGTCTGTTTGCTGGCCACCATCTGCTGGTGGTGCTGGTGTAGGGTCGGCTGGTGGAACAGCCGCCGCCATGTGGTGCGCTTGTTCGCTCGTTGGGTGGTGTGTGAGAGAGTGCGTGGTGTGCGGTGGGAGTCTACTGCGCCGGCAGCTGTTCTGTATTGACCGTTGACACCTGCCCGTCCGTGTGTATCTGTGGGTGCGACTGCGTGGTCTGCAGTAGTCCCCTGCTGCGCCGGCAGCTAACTGTTCTATATTGACACCTGCCCGTTCGTGTGAATCTGTGACTCCGAGTACGTGGGGTGCGGTAGTGCCCTGCTGTACCGACAGCAACAAATTGTTCTTTATTTACACCTGGGTAGTGAGCCTGTCTGTGTGTGTGTGCGCGACGCATGCGGTATTGTAGTGCGGTAGTCCACCTGTGGCGCAACTAATACTGATGTTCTATTTTGACATCTGCCCGTGTCTGTCTATGTTTGGGTGTTAGTGTGTGCGATTCTGTGGTTGACAATTGCCCGGGCAACACACAACGTGAACATGTTCTACATTGACAACTGCCCGGGCACCTAGCTGGCTGCAGACACCTACTCTTCCAGGAGGGTGCGCACCTAGTTGGCTGCGGACACCTACTCTTCCAGGAGGGTGCGCACCTAGTTGGCTGTAGACACCTACTCTTCTAGGAGGGTGCGCACCTAGTTGGCTGCAGACACCTACTCTTTCAGGAGCGTGCGCACCTAGTTGGCTGCAGACACCTACTCTTCCAGGAGGGTGCGCACCTACGTGCCTGCAGACACCTACTCTTTCAGGAGGGTGCGCACCTAGTTGGCTGCAGACACCTACTCTTTCAGGAGGGTGCGCACCTACTTGCCTGCAGACACCTACCCTTGCAGGAGCGTGCGCACCTAGTTGGCTGCAGACACCTACTCTTCCAGGAGGGTGCGCACCTAGTTGGCTGTAGATGACTACTCTTTCAGGAGCGTGCGCACCTAGTTGGCTGTAGATGACTACTCTTCCAGGAGCGCGCGCACCTAGGTGTGTACGAACAACTAGCCGATAGTTGTCTGGCAAACAACTAATTTATTAGTTATAGTTGTAGCACAGACAGACCATGAGAAGTTCTCTTCTAAATAAATGTGGGCAACATATATATGTATGTTGGTGTGCGCCAGGCGCCAGGGGGAGGTAGACCGTTTATTGGTGCAAAACAGCACTTGCGACTTTGTAGCCTGTGTATATGAAACTAGTTTCTCATGATCGGAGAGGTGTCGAGAAATTGTATCAGGTTGACCCTGTAGACTACGCGTTTGCATGCATGATAATGTACTTTAGGGTCAACTTGGCTGCGAAGCAATTATTCTCTGCAGATGTTCCCACTCCAAGAATGAAGTAACTTCAAAACGGACAGCGTTGCGATACGATCACAATCACCCGGCTTGCTTTGGGCGTGTGAATTCGGCCAATCAGCCCACCAACTGTGCTTTTACAGTCCACCACACATACATGCTTACACTGTGTCGTGGTCAGGGTGCCTTTGTTGCTCGGGATTTCCCGATTGTCCCTTAATAAGAGGGTACCCTACCATGGAACACCCTCATACAAGAGGGTAACCCTCTCATACCGATACAAGAGGGTGGAGGGCTGCTGTCACACCACCCTCTTGTAACGGAGCCACGACTGTACTACTGGAGTTTGTGTGCACGGAAGAATTCGGAACATCTCCCAGATCTACGTATGTATTTTGGTTCTTGATGTGCCACCCTGGAGGCGTGTTGGTTCGGTTTTCTGGAGTCCCGAAAGAGAAAGGTGCCACGGAGTTCTCGTTCTGCTGCCTCGCTGCTCATGCAGCAAGATTTTGATGGACGCGTGCCCACTGGACCCAAGTGTCACATGCTGCGGAATGCACAGCGTCTAATATGCAGCCCGCGTCGGAGGGTCACGCGGCATAGGACGGCAGCAGCTACAGACGCTCGTAGCTTTTCTCCCGCCCACCCACCCCTTTCCTTTCGAAGGTGCGGGAT